GGGGTTATACCTTCGGGGCCGGTGGACCGGCGGTCGTCGATGAAGGCTCGGGGACCGAGGCGGGAGAAAAATGTTCTTTTATTATTAATCTTAATTAATTTCAATTAATAATAATTAAATTTAATTAATTATAATTAATTATAATTAATGATGATTAATTAAAAATAACATAATTAATTATGATTTAATTAATCATAATTAATTAGAAGTTATTTTTAATTAATTACAATTAAAAATAATTAGATTATAATTAACCTAATTAATTAAGATTAATTTCAATTAATTAAAATTAATATAAATATTTTTTTTTTATTGACGGATTTACGGGATTCAACCGAAGATGCGCTCGGAAGGCAGAAAGTTACCTTCACAAACGGCGAGCTCCCGTTCTTGCTTTGGATCAAAATGTCGTGGTTCCGGTCCGACTGGAAGGGAAAGTCGGCGAAGGGGCTAAGTCGAACAGCCCTGAAGGAGCTGAAGAAGCCGTAGAAAGGGAGAAAGTTGCCTCTGCAGCCAGCGAGCTCCCGCCCGTTGCTTCCGATCAAAATGCAGTAACTTCCGATCCTTCAGGAAAGGGAAGTCGTCGAAGGAGCCTCGTTGAACAGTCACGGAGGAGCTGAAGAAGAGGCGCCAAAGGGAGAAAGTTAACTTCACAGCGAGCTCCCGTTGTTAGCTCCGATCAAAATGCAGTAACTTCCGATCCTTCAGGAAAGGGAAGTCGTCGAAGGAGCGGCGTCGAATAGCTACACAGGAGTCGGAGAGCGAGAGAGGGATCGCGTGCGTGAGAGAGGAGATCGGGAGAGAGCTCGGGGTTCGGGAGAAGAGAGCCAGCGCGAATGGGAGCTCGGTCTCATTTTAACGCCGAGATCAATTGTGCGTGAAAGAGACGTCGATCTGCCAGCGACGTGAGAGGAAGTCGTGTGCGACGTGTTTCGGCAGAGGGCAGGTGAGATTTGATTTTTGTTTCTTTTCTTTTCTTTTTTTGTTACACAGCAGGTCAACACGTGACTATTTGCGAGTTCAATCAACTCGGTCAACATTTTCAGGTGTTGCATCCACAATGCATTGAGGAATGGACAATCACAGTCCTTGCATTAGAGCATCCTAGGTGGCGGCTAGCTCTAAGTCAACTTCAAGTATTTCCTTCTAGAATTTCACAATGAAGCTGCAAAGAGACTCTCCTGTCTCCTGAAGCATCTTGAGGAAGGCTTGCGAGTTCTTTTAAGGCTTCTGACACTTTTAAATTGTGTGACAAACATCCTTTTGAACGTCACAAATGAGGTGATTACCCTTATGGGTAAGTGAGTGAACCACTATAGTGCTGACTCTTTAAAGGTGACGAAGAGTAGCTGACATTTGAAAGCTTCATCGATGTCAAGCAACGACGTCGTTGGTTCAAATTAGCAACATTGTCAGCAAGGTCAATTCTTCCCCTGTAAGACTCTAGGCTGGACATTTTAAACATTGGAGGTGGCCTCACCTCCATTATCACCCTGGAGAAAGTGTTAGTTTGGGTTTTGTTCTCACTTGTTGGGGAGGAGGATTGTACTCTTCGTCTGGTGGCGGTGCAAGTCGGATCTGGTTGGGTGTCGAAGTGAGTGCGAGTCTTCTACGACGAATGGTTAAGTCCTTTATCTCCATGAGGTCGCGACTATTAGTATAGTTTGGGGCATTCATGTTCATTGATAGCTATGGGTTATGTTCTTCTTCTTGTGTGCATGTATTTTGATTACCGGCATCAATCCATAGTTTATCGTATCTTTGGAGATCTTGGATCCAAATTTGTTCATGGATGATAGCCAACCTTTGCTAGACAAGAACTTGAGAACTTTGAGTATGGAAAAAGAAAGGAGAATGTTAAGGAAATCTGAGAGAAAAACTAAGAAAATCTAAGTTTTAAGAATTCTCTAGCAGATCAATGATGCTCCAGAAAGATCCATAATATTCTTATTAACCCTTTTGTTATGTTGATATGAGGGCTACAGGAAAAACTACATAAAAGGATAAAACAATACATCATTAATTGCGACCCATTTCAAACTATGTAGGATGCATGTCAAGGTCTGATAGGTTTCCACGTGGTTCTCTGATTCTGACCTAATCCTCTGTTTCTAGGTGTGTCCCTAGGTGAGTAGCGAGTTTTTTTGGGCATGGTGGCAAGTCTCTGGGTGTAGTTCTTAGGTTGTAAGTGTGAAGGCTGGGTCATTTTGGGTCATGACAATTGTGAGCTGAGAGTTGGCTAGGTTTTCAACCTCTTGAGATGCTCATTCCTCATATCTAGTATTAGCGATGCTAGTAGAGGTCTAAACAAGTTAAGTCGAGCTTGAGTCACCCCAGGTTCGAGCTTGAGCTTGATTAATTAATCAAGTTTGTGTTTGAGCTCGAGCTTTATTTGAGCCCTCTTTTACCATAAAAGAGAAAATGATTATGATTCATGTAATTATTATAATAAAATGATAAAAAGAATGAAAAACAACAACACATCAAGCCTTTATCCCACTACGTGGCGTCGGCTACATGAATCTTTTTTCTCCATTGTGTCATGTTAAGAGTCATTCTCATTTAAATCTAATAAATAAAGGTCATTTCTATTATTTTCTAACCAAATCTTTTTAGGTCTACCTTTACCTTTCTTAAAATAAGCCAAATCTAATACATCTATTTTCCTAACTAGGTCATCAGAAGGCTGCCGTTTTATGTGATCAAGCTATCTAACGCGACTCTCTCTAATCTTATCTTCTACTGGAGTTACTCCAACCTTTTCACGTATATGTTCATTTTGTATCTTCTCTCTAAGAGTAGAGCCACTCATCCATCTGAGTATTCTCATCTCTGCAACACTTAACTTAATATTATACTTCTCTTTTTAATGGCCAACATTCTACAACATAAAGCATTGCAGGTCTCGCCACCATCTAATAGAATTTTTCCTGAAGTTTGAGGGAATTTTTCTATCACACAATAAACCCGATGCATTTCTCCACTTCAACCATACAACATTAATTCTACTAATAATATCCCCATCTATTTCACCATCACTCTGAACAATAGGCTCAAGATATCTAAAATGTGTACACTTATTAATAACTTGATCGCCCAAGTCACAATTCTCCCACTAGATCTATTACTACTAAAATTTTAATCCATATATTCAGTTTTAGGTATGCTCAAATGAAAACCTTTAGACTCTAAGGTTGATCTCCATCATTCAAGCTTACTTTCAACTCCCTCTCTAGTCTTATCAACAAGAGGAATATCATAAGCAAAAAGCATACACCAGGGTACAACCTCTTGCGAATGTCTAGTGAGAACATCCATGACTAAAGCAAAAAGATGTGGGCTTAAGGTTGATCCTTGACATAATCCAATTGAAATAGGAAAATACTTGGTCAAACCACTTTGTGTTTGAACACAAGTAACAACTCTTGCATATATATCCTTAATGACTTGAATATGAGCATTATTAACCCCATTCTTTTCTAGAACTCACCAAAGCACTTCTCTTAGAACTTTATCATATGCTTTCTCTAAATTAATAAATATCATATGTAGATCCTTCTTATTCTCTTTATATTTCTCCATCAAACCTCTCAATAAATGTATAGCTTCCATAGCAGACGTACCCGACATGAATCCAAATTGATTTTGAGAAACATTAGTATCACGCCACAACTTATGCTCCATAATTCTTTCCCATAATTTTAAAGTATAACACATTAACTTAATAAAAAAACTCACTTAATATAAGTAAAATATAATTTTAAAATATTTTTAATAACTTGTATGCTAATGAATCTAGTCAGGACTGGCACAAATTTTACTCATAAGTTATTTAACGAGTCAAGCTCAAGACGGCTCACGAGTTTGACTTAACTCACAACCCTATTCCACAGCTTGCTGATTTAAGTGGATGGGTAGCTTTGGGAGGGTGATCTATGCTGAGGAGAGGAGTCCTTAGGAGGGATCTCTACAAGTTCCTTGTAACTCATGTGGGGATGACTTTTTGACTTGATCAACCTAGGTTAGTTGCGCTTCTCAACATAGCGAGTTCCTATAGGAAGCAATGTGACTACTTTGACGAAACTCTTATCACCAGAATCTATTACGTTTGAGTTCTTCTATCCGAACTTGTTAGGTGCCTGTGAAACTCATACATGCACATATACGTGTATACATTTATAATTTTAACTTCATGTTCTGTGCTTCTCGCTTATTTTTATATATTTTTGTAGGTCTTAATGTTCATCATCTTTTAAATAATACTTTCCCACGTTTGTATTGTATAGTGCTTGATGTACAATTTGGCTATATCTTTGATGATCAAATACGTTTGTTCTTATTCCCAAATTTGTATGGATTTTATTTTGCAGATATGGTCTTGTCAAACAAATTATTTGTTTATGATCTTGAGAATCAAGTTGTTGGCTGGACTGAATATAACTGTAAGTATTATGGTAACCAATTGAATTCTTTCAAATGCCATCATGATCAGTTTCTAGGAACTCTGCATCTATTACTGGAAAGTAATAAACCCTAATGTTGCTCAGAACTACTAGAAACGAAACCACTTGGTTGATTTTACTTCTAACCAATGTTTGAGCATCCTCAACAGATTTTATGTGGTTAAGAGGGTACAACAACATTTGCATTATAAAACCTATTGCCTTTCCAAGTGTAGCTGAACTCTCCTGCACTAAACATATTATATTTAACACATTTGTATATATATATATTTTTTTGACAACTCTATTTTTAGGACATAATTTTGTCAGTATGCATTTTGTTGTTAAAACAGCACATGCTCAACTTCAGAAGATAATGATTTTTTTTACATTCATTGATAAATCATTAGAAGAAAAGGCATACAAGTCACTGTTTGATGAGAAATTATTCAGTGTGGAAGCCGGACTCAGAACGTCGTTCGGAGACCAACCAGAATGCGTCACGTCAGCAGTACCGAGCTGCGGTCTCGGTACCGAGCAAAGGGTAATGTGACACATTCTGGTTGGTCTCCGAATGACGTTTGATATGCGCACAGAATAATTAATCCTATTTGATATACTATTCAACTTTATTTCTTCCTGGTTTATTACAGGCTCATCAAGCATCAAGATTCAAGATGACATCTCGACAGCCTTTTACGCAGTCGATGCTCACAATTTATCCTTCGCTGGTAGATTGGAGATCGAAGGATTCATCACTTTCCTAATGGCAGCTTACTTGTTATTTAATTTCTTCCTTTGAACCATCAGAGAGAGAAAAGATCAATAACACCATTTCTCTCTCAAGCTTGTTTATTATTTTCTAAAAGCAATTTGTTTGAGGCCTTGCTCAGAAGAAATTGGGTGTTCAGATGGCAAAGCTTTGCTGCAGCAGGCCTTACTAATTTGTGAAGAGACGCAAATTATACCAATTATACTTTTGACGATGGATTTTTAAAGAAGAGATGCTGTTTTAATTCTTCCTTGCCTGAGCAGAAGAAGCTTTGAAGGTACATCTACTAAGATTATTTCTATTCCTAATAGTATGTACTCAGTTATGAGGTTTCAATTGTATTATTTCTATTGGCAAAGCCTTTTGTAAACATTTTTTTTTTGTTTTAATATAGTAAGTTTCATTTACAGTAGTTTTTTTTTTTTTTAATTTAGTTTAAAAGTTAGCTAATATCTGCAATGGATTTATGATTTTGGTGGTTAGCCTAAGATTAGTTTTAAAAATTATATTTGGCATCAGATAGGTTTTATTGAGTCTCATCTCATGTGTTTATGATAATGCTTCAAAGTTTTTTTTTTATTTATTGAAGTAATATTTTATTTACCCGCAAATTAAAAAAAAAAAAGAAAAAAAAAACTTTATTTCTGATTTTTTGAATGAGTGAATTATTACTATTATTATCATTATCACGATATTTTGATTTTGCTTACATTGAAAGACATGCAATGCAAAAATCTTCGTTGCAATGAGCCTCTCTTTTGAAGTTTGTGATCATGAGCACTATACTTGTAAAAGTAATGTATTAATCAATGTAAATATATTGATAGTTTTGCTTGTAATGATAGATTTTAAGTGGAGGCATTAGAACAAAACTAAATCAATTATTTTAATTCTAATTCTCATAAATTCTCCTAATATGCTTGTTGGTTTGTAGAATATTTGCGGCATTAGAGAGGTAAAGAGCTTAATGTCTTTACTTTGCACACAAATAGGGAAAGAGGGAGGGGTGCAAGAATTGTAAGACATAATGTTTACGTGAAGAACTTCAAAAAGGGAGAAAAGCTATTGGACCTGACCTAGTTGAAATAAATATACTAGTGCTTGTTTTTTTATTGCAAATGATGTTATTTCCTCGAGGGAAGGTGTTGACTTATTGCACATCATATAGAACATATTATATAGGTAGGGTTGAGAGCTATTCTCAAGACAATGTTGTGTTGTATATTTAGTTGATATGATTGTAATTGGGTGAGGTCGGATGGATTGTAGTTGTCAGACCACCATTGCTAGATGATGGTGGTTGGTTGGAGGGACCGTAGTTGATGGACGATGGTGTTAGGAGGGATCGTACTTGGCGAGCGATAATGGTATGAGGGATCGTAGTCGACGGGTACTGGTGGTCGGAGGGATAGTAGTTAGTGGGTGATAATGGTCGGAGGGATCGAAGTCGGTGGATGATGGTGATCGGATGAACCGAAGTTGACGGGTGACCATGGTCAGAGGGATTGTAGTGAACGGGTGACGACGGTCGGAGGGATTGTAGTTGGCGGGCGATAGTGGGCTAACGGGCGGTGGTTTGACGATGATTGGTGGATTGATGGTGGTCAACATAAGTTTGTTGGCGGTGGTGCTTTGGTAGAACTCTAGGATCCTTGAAGCCTCAGTGCTTTCTCCAATCTCCAGTCAAAAACCCCCTCAGGAAGAGAGCATGAGCATATTTATATATTTCTGTGAGTGGTATACGTCGTAAATATGGAGAAGATTTATGACAAAATTGAAGTGGTCAATCGGACGAGTCATATCAATTCCCTCAATCATAGACATTCATCAAGCATTTGAGTGCCATAATGATGACAAAATTCGACGATCTTGGGCTCGTTGGCGTCTCGTCGAGCCGCTCGATTCACTTATAAACATGTTATATTTGGATATCATTTGATCATTCTATTTATGCTTTGAAGTTTTTGACAATGCTTTAGTCCCTCAATTTGGGCCCAATGAAATTGAAGTTCGGATGGTCCCAAATTTAATTTTGAAAGTTGCCAACTCATATATGCTTCAAGATTCGTGTCTAATCAAGATGATTTTTGGTGATGTATCAATGTTTTAAATGAAGTTTTTTGGCAATCAATCTAATATTTTTATTACTTAGTTAAATTTAATTTAGTTTTTGTTTCGTAGGTTTTCTTAAAGAAATGTTGTGCTTTCTATTTGACAACCTTAAATTTTTTTGTGATGTGCTGCACTAAATGATTTTAAAATTTAATGTGATTACGCATAGGCGTCTAAGTGAGCCTGAGTTGGTATGAACTTAACTTATTAATGAGTTAATGACATGAGCTTATAGAGACCTAAGTTCAAGCTCGAGCCTATACTCAAGTTTGAATATTATACAAACTTGAGCTTGAGCTTAGCTTAGTTCAGCTTGTGAGTTTGTTGAGCCGCTCATTTAAATTAAACTATAATTTAAAATTAATTTAAGAATAACAATACAAAATATATAATAAATATTTTTAATTATTTATTGAGTTGAGCTTGAACTTTTCAAATGAGTTTGAGTAATCGAGTCGAGCTCGAGCTTAATAAATTTTGAACGAGCTTAGTTCAAGCTTAGTAAATGAGCTCAAGTTAAGCTTGAGTTTGAGCTAAGCAAGAATTGAATGAATTTAGCTCAATTAGGCAGATATTTGACTTGTTTACCTTCCTCATTGCTTATAACCCTCACTCTCAATTTATCAAAATACCTTTTGTAGGATAAGAATTAAATGCCATAACATTATTGGATTAAATTTAATTAAATAAAAAATAATAATTTAACTTACGATTGATTTTACATAATTTTTTCAATTTGAAACATATTAAATCACATCAGTATGAAATCAAATTAAGAGTGATAATCTAATTTCCTCATCCTAATATTTTATTGAGGATCCAATTAGCTACCATTAATTATTTGAGATTGTTGGAATTATTCAACTAAAAAAAATAATTTATTGATGTGGATCACATCAAAACGTTTTCCTCGTGTAGTCTGTTGCTTGTTAAAAAAATTCAGCACAATGTATATTAGTTTATGAAGCCTAAGCGAATGATTTGCACATAAATAAAAAATAAATAAAATTGGGCATATAAGTTAAAGATAATTTTAAGGTGAACAATTTAAAAAAGAAAAAAAAAATCATATATGAAACTTAGGTTTCGTTTGGGAAGGCTTTTTATTGCTTCTTAAAATAATTTTTTAGTACAAAAAATTAATTTTTGTATTAAAAAAGCTGATTTAAGAAGCAGTAAGAAAATTATCCCAAACAAAACTTTATAGTCGTACTAATGTAACTCTTACCGTGTTAGAGATGGATCGATTGCAAAATAAAAATTTAGTTGGTGTGGAGCTATCTCGACTCTCGAATAGTGGTTGTCGATGACGACATCGATGGTTTAAGATAAGTAGGTGATGAATATGGGATTATTGGGAGGATGAGAGCATCCAAGTCAATTTCTAAGAGAAGTTGGCCAATGAATGAGAATGGGTGTTGTCATTGGCTGTAGATCATAACATAATTGTCAATTTTAACAATATTTTGAATTTCTTGTTAATGAATTTGAATCACTGCTTTCTCTTTTGTAGGACAAAGGGATAAAAATAATGCTACATGAGCTAACATTAAAACTTTGTTAGGGTACTATTTCGCAAGTATTTCTTCTTATTGGCCTCTCTTTCCCACGGCCTCCCTTCGTTGGAGATCTTCTCGTAGGTTTCGTTTGAGACGGCTTTCTTGCTGCTTCTTGAAGCAGCTTTTTAGTACAAAAATTAATTTTTTTTTTATCAAAAAACTGCTTCAATAAGTAATAAAAAAGCAGTCCCAAACGAAACTTCAATCCCTTTCATTAAGAAACTTTTCTCTTTCATCCATTGGTTTAGATTAGAGGCCACTTTTTTCTTTTTTTGCTCCTTAAAGTCACCACCTCCATCTTCAATGACCATCCCATTCAACATGATTCTTATTGCTAATCTTCACAATTCTTATTGCTAATCTTATATATATACATATATAGAATTTCCTTAAATTAATTCATAAGCTGATTAAACTATTGGGCTGTTCGGTTGCCTAGAAAGAAACGTTGAGTAAAAGGAGTATTTTGAAATTATTTGGATGTGTGTAAAAGAAATACATGATATTATTATTATCATTTTTGTTTGAAGTAAAGTGAATGTAATGTTAAGACTAAAAATGATAGTGGTAGGTGGTCGACATTGGCGGTGGCGAGGCTTGTGGCTGGCAGTTGACCAGCTGCGGGTAGTTAACCTACGATTGTGGTAGTCGTTGGCTACGGCTAGCGGCGGGCATCCAACGGTGGTGGTGGTTGATGGCTGGTGGTGTCTCGAGGTGGTGGTAGTCGGTGACTGGGGCTGAGAGGTGGTGGTTAGCAACGGTCAATGATGATAGGTTGGTGGTGGCGGTCAGCGGCGAGCTGGCGGCGGTTATGGGTAGAGGTAGTATGCCTTAGTGGCGGAGCCAAAAACTTTATTCATGGGGGACCTAAATTAAACACTACAGGAAAATCATCCATTACCGACGAAATTTTCCGACGACTTTCCAAAGGTTTGCGGTTAATTTTCCGGCAGTTTTCCTACGATCAATTTTCTGGCGGTTTGTCATATCATCTAGAATTTTAGAATACATTTAAATAGTTTCATTTGACGTCTTATTACTGGAGCCAAGAGTTGTAAGATAAAAAATAATAATGAAAATAACATAGAGAGGAGCGAAAGGGAAACCGAAAGCCGTGGTCGTGGTCGTGAGTTGTGAGAGATGAGCAAAGAAGAAAATGAAGCATATCGTTTGGGTCGAGAGAATGCAAACCATTTGGGAGCGGTTTCTGTTTGATCCTGTGATATGATATTATAGCCAGAGAAAAAAAAATTTATAAGAAAGTTATTGTGAAAATTAGTAGGAAATTTATTCCGAGCAAAGCCTAAAGTATATTCTTGCATGTTAAATCATAGAATTATTAGGTCTTGTTTTTTTTATGAAAATAATGCTAATTTTCTTATGTAAATTGATCCTGCACACTTAAATTTGCTTTAAAATAAGTACAACACATAAAAAAATCAATTAAAATATATATTACACATATCTCAAAATAAATACAATACTTTTAAGATCTATTTTGACAAAAAAATTGATCAATATTATGTATATATTTTTATGAATATATTACATTCAGTAAAAATCGTGACTAAATAATTATAGTTTGTACCTCAAAATATTTTTTAATCATATTTTTGAAGTATATTTTCATATAAATCAAAATTTTTATTTTAAAAAATAAACCCAAAAGAAGTAGAAGCCCACAAAC